TGTTAAACTGTAATTTATTTCTGTGATGCGCAGCTGTATTTTCAGCATCATTACTCCAGTCTTCAGTGTCACATGATCTTCAGAAATCAGTATAATATGCTGATTTGCTGCTTAATAAACATTTCTGATTATTATCAATGTTGAAAACTGTTGTGCTGCACAATATTTCTGTGGAAACCGTGATACATTTTATTTTTCAGGATTCACAGATGAACAGAAAGTTCAAAGAACAGCATTTATTTGAAATAGACATCTTTGTGACATTATAAATGTCTTTACTGTGACTTTTGATCCATTTAATGCATCCTTGATGAATAAAAGTATATTATATTCATATTTCAAATAAGTACACATATATACAGTTGTAACGTTTACTGTCACTTACATAAAGTTTATATCTAATATTACATTGTACATTTGTTGTAAAATAACCCATGGAAATCATCTTTACAAATGAATTTGCTTCAAAAATAGTGTAAATTAAAGAAACTGACTGCTGAACACAACTTCGAGGTGTTTTGGTGGAAACTGATATTTTTCTGTGAACTACACGAGTCCACCTTTGAAGTGGATCAAAACCTTTCATCAAAGTTGTCCTAAAACCAAAATGCGTTCTTGTCTTTGGCTTTGATGAACTTTTTTTGATCCACTTCAAATGTTGACTAGTGTAAATGAAGGCGACTGACTTCGACTCTTTCTTCCCGGTTTCTGGCAGCCCAAACAAGCGCGGTCCTCCCACCTATAACGAGCACATCTCCAAGCGTCTGGCTGGTATGCCCGATGTACAGGAGGGCCTCTACCAGCCCGGGACGCCCCACCGCTACCACGAGGCTCGCACCGAGTTCAGGCGGGACAAGTCTCCCGTGCGGCCCCTGGACAGAGAGAAGCCCCCGGGCCGGCTGGAGCGGTCCCCCGGCAGGATGATGGACCCTCGGCTGGACTGCTCACCGGGACGAGTCATGGACCTGCGCAGGGAGAGGTCACCCGGCCGCGCGTTTGAGGAGCCCCGCCAAAGACTGCACACGGGATCAGCTCGAACCCCTATCAACACTGTTAACAAGGTCAGGACGACTGAACACACCAAACACACACACACACTCGATGATGCATTAAAGGCTCAATTGAGATCTTGAGCACCAGTCTAGTGTTCAAAATTCAGAGTGACTCCAATTGATCAAAAACACCAGTATATACCATTTAGTTGTATCAAATGTAAGGCCATAAAAAGTCTTAAATGGTACAAGAAAGTCTTAATTATGATTTCAAAAGGTCTTAAATTTGGGGACGGGAAGACAACAATTGCCTTATGTGACCCTGGACCACAAAACCAGTCATAAGGGTCAATTTTGTGAAATTGAGATGCATACATCATCTGAAGCTGAATAAATCATCTTTCCATTGATGTATGGTTTGTTAGGATCGGACAATATTTGGCCGAGATACAACTATTTGAAAATCTGGAATCTGACTCGTGCAGAAATCAAAACAAATGAGCGCCAACAGAACAACCAGCAAGTTATAGATGCATACTGCGGTAGTAAAAAAAAAAGAAGAAATTTATAATATATGATTTAGGCTACTTGTTTTTCTTTCATTTTCTTAACTCATAATTTAAGTAAAAATATGTTTCTCGTATAGGCCTATTTATTCGTTAAATATATATATATATAGCCTAGCTTTATGATGTTTTTCTCCGCTCGCAGAAGCGCAACAGGTGTTGTTTGCTGCTTTTTGCGCATGTAAAATTAATCCCCGGAAAACAAATGTTAGTATTTTTTAACGTGTCACAGACACTTATCCTTTCTAATTTAAAATAATCTTGTCGGTTAACAATCGGTTAACGAGCGTCGGTTGTCAGTTAGGAAAAATAACCGAAATGAACAATCCCTAGTTTGCACGAATCTGTTGAATGAATGACTCACTCATTCAAACAGTCATTTGGCGCCACCTACTGGTTTGGTTTCATATTTAAAACTATCATTGCATTTTCCCAACATTTCTTATTTGTATGTTTAAAACATATTTAAAACATTAATCTTATGAAATTATTTATGCATTCGAAAATTTTGCAGTGTAAATGCATTTATGGCAGCTCAGCTTCATCAAACAGTCTGTAAATACATCTAATGCCACTTCAGATGCAGCTTCCTGTAAAGTAGAGTTTGTTGATACTGGTTTCATTTGAATGGTAACAGCTCTACAGTTTCTTATTATTCTAACTGAATTAATTGAAACAATGTAAGAATTTGAGGTGAAAGATGACACATAATAAGGTTAGTGAAAAAAGGACAATTTAAGAAACGCAGTAGGAAATGACATCCGTTTTGTTAAAGACAGCAACTCCTTTCCAGTTAATTATTTCTACCTCTTCTAGTCACAGAGCACTTTATTTTGAGAGTTGTTTAAGTGAGAGAACATCTGTAACTTTGTCCAGATTAGGGGGAATTGTCATGTTTAATAATTTTGATGTAATTTTTTTTTGCATTAAAAAAGTATCGATTTTTGTTTGTATATGCTGTCAATTATAGTTTTTAGAAAGAAAATCGGAATCGGTGCATCTCTAATTCAGACCAATGTGAAAATCGACCCATATTTTTACGCAGCAAACACAGCTGTAAATGTGAACCAGTGGATCAACAAGAACCTAATGATAATGCGTTATAAAAACCTAAACAATTAAGACACTAAGATGTATTTATTAAATTAGTATAACTGATTGATAATAGTTTAAATTAATATAATAACTGATACCTTTAGCACTATTTCCCACAATCCAATGCGGAGAACCGGCGAGTTTGAATGAGAGATGACGTTTACATCTTTATTATTTCTGCTTTAACGTTTATTTCATACATTATATTAAAATATGTTATGTAGGCAATAACTCAAGTTTAATATTTTACTAATTTACTGAGGTGGCATTGTTGTTAACTTACAAAAATGATGATAATTTGGTGGATAATTAAAAAATGTTCGTTAATCACAGTAGGTAGTGTATTCATTCTGCTGTAAAATATAACGGTCGCCTGTTAATTATCTTATCTGAGCTCAAAACGCTGCTCATGAGAGTGTCAAGAAACTAAAAATAATAAATACATAAAATTATGAACGTGTTAATGTGTTTATTTTTGATCTCAGTATTTTAATAGTACTTAATGATTATGAACATAAAAGCATTACAATACAAATTAATAATATACCATCGATGAAACCACAAAGCTTTCATACATTATATTAAAATATGTTATGTAGGCAATAACTCAAGTTTAATATTTTACTAATTTACTGAGGTGGCATTGTTGTTAACTTACAAAAATGATGATAATTTGGTGGATAATTAAAAAATGTTCGTTAATCACAGTAGGTAGTGTATTCATTCTGCTGTAAAATATAACGGTCGCCTATTAATTCTTATCTGAGCTCAAAACGCTGCTCATGAGAGTGTCAAGAAACTAAAAATAATAAATACATAAAATTATGAACGTGTTAATGTGTTTATTTTTGATCTCAGTATTTTAATAGTACTTAATGATTATGAACATAAAAGCATTACAATACAAATTAATAATATACCATCGATGAAACCACAAAGCTGACGCGGAGGTATGTATAATTACAAAATAAAGTCATTTTGAGTGTTATTGCTATTAATATTATTTTCTAAAATAAAGTACATGACGATGTTTTTGCAACAGCTCCAAGTCTCACACGCCGTGTATACGTCACCGGCCGAATCCGTTCACTTATTTAGTTCACTCCTTTCTGATATAGTGCACTCAACTGTCATACACTATATAGGGATTAGTGAACGAGTGAGAGATTTCAGACACAGTTTGTGACTGGTCTTGCTGGTGTTAATGGTGTGTGTTTGTGTGTCCAGCAGGTGTGGGATCAGTCATCGGTGTAAGAGTCATCAGTGAAGAACATCAGATCTCGTCCGGATGAGGAAACTCTCAGCACAACGTCTCGCTCACAAGGCCTTACAAACACAAGACGGTCACACACAGATCCGGCCAGCGTTTACTAAACCTCACACATACACACACTCTCTCTCTCTCTCACACACATACACACACTCTCTCTCTCACACACACACACATACACACACTCTCTCTCTCACACACACACACACACACACACTCTCTCTCTCACACACACACTCTCATTTCCGTTCACTTCATTCGCGCTGATGTTTAACCAGAAATGTAGCCTTTGTTTTCTCATTTTTTATGATTATGGTCTGATAGCATTATCTATAGCCACTAATAAACTAAAGTTTATCTTTATCTGAGCCTCTGCGTCTGAGTTTTTCTGTACTTTTATAATCTTTTTTTTTTATTCAGGTGAAACTGAATATTTAATGAGAATAAATGTGGGACAAGATGATTTCTGAAGTGGAGCGAGTTGTTACGTTTTGATGAAAGATTATGAGGATGAACTTTGAAATGGATTGAATCATGAGACCAAAAGCGTTTATTAAGTCAGTTTTGATTTTATGTTGACCTCATAAGAGTCTGATGCTGCTCTAGTTTGGCTTTTAATATTATAAGTCCATATGTCTGGGACTGAACGATGTAGGGCCTTGAAAATGAAGATTCCATAAGTAAAAAAAAGGAATTAGAATCTAAAATCATATTGTAATATCTTCAATAGTTCTTGAGTTTCAGGCACTCAAACTTTGGGAAAAGAATATTTATGGCATTCAATACAGTTTTGACAGAAGGAAATGAGATACATTTCTAGTTTCAACATTATGTATTTTTCAGATATTCCTCTTTAAAAGAAATGAAGTATCATATTTATGCAAAGTGACCCACATTTGGTTTTTGACCGCTGAAAATGTGTGCAATTTAACAATATACTCCTGGAGCCATGTTTAGATATCTCTGGAACCGAACCATACACAGGGCCTTAAAAAATGAAGATGCCAAATGAGACCCAATATCTAAAAGGGCGTTAAGATATCTTCAATACTACTTGAAATACAGGCATGCAAACTTTGGAGAAAAAAACTTTTTCCCATTTTTGAATGGTCACCATCGGTGTATAATGTAACAAAGATTGCTGAAGTCAACAGATTTTACTAATAAACCTGCTGATCTCTGTGTAAAATTAATATAATGATGCTGCCATCTTTCTGAAGTCATTTTTAACCCCCTGTAGTTTGGCTCTGAATTAAAAAACAGGTTACAAAATTGCGTTTTTTTGGGGGTTCAATGTTATAGTTTTTACTAATATTTTGTATTAACTTTTATTTTTATATATTCCATTATTATTTTAAATCAAGTTAAAGTTTTAGTAGTTTTTGATTATTATTAATTTAGTTAACTAATAAATTCGTTTTTTTTATTTTAATTTTCAAGCCAATTGCCAACGCACGTTTTTAAACATTTTAATTCAGTTAACATTTATTTCAAGTAACTTTTTTTTCCCCTGAATCTTTGAGTTTTAGTTTAACCTTCTGATAATAACCCTGATTTGGTTTAAACATCGGCAGATTGAAGTGTAAATTTAGCAGGTTCTGGGAAATGCTTCCTCATTTATTTACAAAATATATTTTTGTGGTAATTTATAGATCCACCACACATGGAAAGTTGATTGATAACACTGCAGTTAAGTCACATAATTACGTGTTTGCATAGAATATATGTGACCCTGCAGCACAAAAGCAGTGTTAAGTCGCTGGGGTATATTTGTAGCAATAGCCAACAATACATTGTATGGGTCACAATTATACATTTTTCTTTTATGCCAAAAATCATTAGGATATTAAGTAAAGATCATGTTCCATGAAGATATTTTGTAAATTTCCTACCGTAAATATATCAAAACTTAATTTTTGATTAGTAATATGCATTGCTAAGAACTTCATTTGAACAACTTTAAAGATGATTTTCTCAATATTTAGATTTTTTTTGCACCCTCAGATTCCAGATATTCAAATAGTTGTATCTCGGCCAAATATGATTCCAGATTTTCAAATATTGTCCTATCCTAACAAACCATACATCAACGGAAAGCTTATTTATTCAGCAAATCTCAATTTCAATGGGGTATTTCATATTAAGCAGTTTTTCTTTTCCTTCAGGCTCTTAATGATTAATGTTTATTTCTTCATCTCTCAATAATCATTGCATTATATGTTTGGATCATTTCAATCTCGTCTTGTGAAGACATATTACTGGAGATATAGAGCGCCGACTGATACTTAGATCATTTTATGTCAGTATCTGTTATAAAGAGTTACACTGATTTACATTACAAGCATCAGAATTCCATCATATAAATATCAGCGTCTGCTCCAGATTGCATATTTTTGCTCAGTTTTTGAATAAAATTAAGCAGCTTTTTCCTCCATATTCTCACTATAACTGTCTATATGAGCCATAAAAGCCTGATGGATCAAATATGATACAAAAACCAGACAGACGTGGTTCAGGTTGGCAGTGTGCTGTGCTTTAGTTTCATTCACACAAGCGCCTCCATCAGCGACAGCGGCGGCTCGTACAAACACAGAGAGGAACGACAGCAGCATTGTGGGAGATTTCATCAGCAGACGTGTTTGAGATCAGACACAGATCGTCCTGATGAGATTCAGGCCACGCTCTGAGATCCTGTGCATGTATTGCTAGAGTTCATCAGGCTTTCATTGCATGGGCTGTACACGTCACATAATATACACAGATTCAAGTGTGCTAAACTCCTCCGAGCAGATCCGTCAGGAGAACATGATTATAAGAGCCGTGTCCTACAAGACGTTCACATGAAAATGAAGTTCAGTCATCATTTACTCGCTCTCATGGTGCTTCAAACCCGTAAGAGTTTCTTTCTTCACTGCAGCTCCTGCTTATTAACATCAACATTGTGCACCATTTTTAGTCTTTTTGAAGCATGCCATATAAAAATAATCAAAGGAAAAGCTTGGGGGCCAGATTCACAAAGAATAAAATTCTTAATATTTTCTCGTTTTCAAATTTAAGAATATTTTCTATTCCTAAAAATTAGTGCTGTCTTAACAATTAATCGCAATTAAAAACAAGTTTTTGTTTACATAATATACAGTATATATGTGTGCTGTGTATATTTATTATGTATATATATATATATAAATACTAACACATGCATGTATATATTCATGAAAAATATATTTATATAAAATATAAGAATATAAATATATGCATGTAAATATTTACTGTATGTGTGTGTATTTATATAGACATAATACACACATATTTTGTAAACAAAGACTTTTATTTTGGATGCGATTAATCGTTTCACTGGTAAAAATATTTCTTCAGAAAGTTGTTTCTTATGAAGAATCTGACATCCTGAAAAAAAAAAGTTCTTAAAATCATCATAACTTTTAAAGTTTAAAAATAATAAAATATTTCCTTAATTAAAAATTAAAATAACCTCAAACTAGTCTTAAATGCCCAAAGGTAAGACGTTTAATGAATTTATTGAAATTTAGTAACAACTCGACAAAAACGTGTAATTAAATGTATAATTAATAAAGTTTTCATTCAGCAGAATTGATAATTATTTTTAAAACTTGCTTAGAATTTATTCAAGAATTTCATTTAAGAATATTCTTGGAATTTATCTTTAGAAATATCTTTTTTATCTCTATTTTTATGAATCTAGGTGAAATCAGATAAACTCCAAATAAAGCCTGGCATTTTCTTCTTGAGAATAAAAATAAGACATTCTTGCGCACTTTTCTTTTTGTGTATCATGACCTTGGAATTCATCATAAGAAATGACTTAAATTCCATAAAGTTCACAATTCACAAAAACTTTAGGAAATGTCTTCTTTTCTAAGAACATTTACATGAATCAAATGACATCCTGAAAAAAAAAAGTTCTTAAAATCATCATAACTTTTAAAGTTTAAAAATAATAAAATATTTCCTTAATTAAAAATTAAAATAACCTCAAACTAGTCTTAAATGCCCAAAGGTAAGACGTTTAATGAATTTATTGAAATTTAGTAACAACTCGACAAAAACGTGTAATTAAATGTATAATTAATAAAGTTTTCATTCAGCAGAATTGATAATTATTTTTAAAACTTGCTTAGAATTTATTCAAGAATTTCATTTAAGAATATTCTTGGAATTTATCTTTAGAAATATCTTTTTTATCTCTATTTTTATGAATCTAGGTGAAATCAGATAAACTCCAAATAAAGCCTGGCATTTTCTTCTTGAGAATAAAAATAAGACATTCTTGCGCACTTTTCTTTCTTTCTTAAGAAGATTTTTGTGTATCATGACCTTGGAATTCATCATAAGAAATGACTTAAATTCCATAAAGTTCACAATTCACAAAAACTTTAGGAAATGTCTTCTTTTCTAAGAACATTTACATGAATCAAATGAACTTGTCATTTAAATGTGTTCAGAAGGTTTTTGTGAATCGTACAGATTTTGGAATTTATTGTAAGAAATGTTTTCTTAGGAATATTTCCGTGAAGCATTAGAACTTGCAATTTATCGTAAGAAGTGTCTTAATTTCAGAAGATGTTCGCAAATCTTATGAACTTCTTGGAATTTATCTTAAGAAATGTGTTAATGTCTTTAAGAATATTTATGAATTGTACAAACTTAAAAATAATCTTAGGGAATGTCTTAAAGGGGCAGTATGTAATATTGATGCACATTTCAGAGTACAATTACTGGCTATAGCACTGTTTTTCAGAGACATGACGTTTCCTAAATATCTACAAACGTGTTATTTTTTGGCTTTAGAGGAGTCAAAAAATTACATAGAGCACCTCTAATTTCATCATATTTTCATGAATCGTACAAACTTCTTGGAATTTGTCTTAAATGCCTTAACTTATTTTTTGAGAAGATTTTTGTGAATCCGGTCAAACTTGTGTTTTTCATTGCATCGATCAGTGAATCTGGGAAGAAACATCATGCACTGATTACAAATTTAGCTCGTTTGTCTTCTTAAAGGAGACACTGCAGGCAAAAACACTGTTTTTGATGGTAAAAAACATCTGATGGAAAGAAAACATCCAAAAGACACCGTTTATCTATTTGTGTCAATAGATTTCAATTACATATTTTCAAAAGCTGTTTTCTCAAAATGAGT